GCGGTTTGTTAGAATTTACAGAACATGCATCTCAGTACGACTGATAGAAATAATCCCAAATATTGCCTTTTTCGTTCCATTTAACACGCCAGTGGTGGAATGTCACCATGATTAAGTCGAACAAACACTTGAATTCGAGTTTCTTTGGAAATGAGAAAGAATCAGAGATTTTATTACAATTTACCGCGCTTGTTATTACAATTTGCCGCAGTTTGTTAGAATTTACGGCCTCAAGCCTCTCAGTTTGAATGATAGAATAAATAGCCCAAAATATTTCCGTTTTTTCCATTCATTTAACATCCCAGTGATGGGATATGACCATAATGAAGTCAAACAAACATTGGAATTCGACTTTCTTTGGAAATTAGAAGGAATCAGAGAAGTTATGACATTTTACCGCGCCAGTTATTACAATTTGCCGCAGTTTATTACAATTTACCGCGCTTGTTATTACAATTTGCCGCAGTTTGTTAGAATTTTACAGCACATGCATCTCAGTTTCGACTGATAGAAATAATCCCAAATATTGCCTTTTTTCGTTCATTTAACACGCCAGTGGTGGAATGTGACCATGATTAAGTCGAACAAACACTGGAATTCGAGTTTCTTTGGAAATGAGAAGGAATCAGAGATTTTATTACAATTTACCGCGCTTGTTATTACAATTTGCCGCAGTCTGTTAGAATTTACGGCTCAAGCCTCCTCAGTTTGAATGACAGAAAAAATATCCCAAAATATTTCCGTTTTTTTTCATTCATTTAACATCCCAGTGATGGATCTGACCATAATGAAGTTCAAACAAACAAATGGAATTCGACTTTCTTTGGAAATTAGAAGGAATCAGAGAAGCATATTACATTTTACCGCGCCAGTTATTACAATTTGCCGCAGTTTATTACAATTTACCGCGCTTGTTATTACAATTTTGCCGCAGTTTGTTAGAATTTACAGAACCTGCCTCTCAGTACGACTGATAGAAACAATCCCAAATATTGCCTTTTTTCGTTCTTTTAACACGCCAGTGGTGGAATGTGACCATGATTAAGTCGAACAAACACTGGAATTCGACTTTCTTTGGAAATTATAAGGAATCAGAGATTTTATTACAATTTACCGCGCTTGCTATTACAAATTTGCCGCAGTTTGTTAGAATTTACGGCTCAAGCCTCTCAGTTTGAAATGACAGAAAATATCCCAAAATATTTCAGTTTTTTTCATTCATATATCATCCCAGTGATGGGATCTGACCATAATGAAGCCAAACAAACAATGGAATTCGACTTTCTTTGGAAATTAGAAGGAATCAGAGAAGTTATTACATTTTTACCGCGCCAGTTATTACAATTTGCCGCAGTTTATTACAATTTACCGCGCTTGTTATTACAATTTGCCGCAGTTTGTTAGAATTTACAGAACCTGCATCTCAGTACGACTGATAGAAATAATCCCAACATATTGCCTTTTTCGTTCATTTAACACGCCAGTGGTGGAATGGCACCATGATTAAGTCGAACAAACACTGGAATTCGAGTTTCTTTGGAAATGAGAAAGAATCAGAGATTTTATTACAATTTACCGCGCTTGTTATTACAATTTGCCGCAGTTTGTTAGAGTTTACGGCTCAAGCCTCCTCAGTTTGAATGATGGAAGAAATAGCCCAAAATATTTCAGTTTTTTTCATTCATTTAACATCCCAGTGATGGGATATGACCATAATGAAGTCAAACAAACATTGAATTCGACTTTCTTTGGAAATTAGAAGGAATCAGAGAAGTTATTACATTTTACCGCGCCAGTTATTACAATTTGCCGCAGTTTATTACAATTCTACCGCGCTTGTTATTACAATTTGCCGCAGTTTGTTAGAATTTACAGCACCTGCATCTCAGTACGACTGATAGAAATAATCCCAAATATTGCCTTTTCGTTCATTTAACACGCCAGTGGTGGAATGGCACCATGATTAAGTCGAACAAACACTGGAATTCGAGTTTCTTTGGAATGAGAGAAAGAATCCGAGATTTTATTACAATTTACCGCGCTTGTTATTACAATTTGCCGCAGTTTGTTAGGAGTTTACGGCTCAAGCCTCTCAGTTTGAATGATGGAAGAAATAGCCCAAAATATTTCCCCGCCGAGTTTTTTTCATTCATTTAACATCCCAGTGATGGGATATGACCATAATGAAGTCAAACAAACATTGGAATTCGACTTTCTTTGGAAATTAGAAGGAATCAGAGAAGTTATTACATTTTACCGCGCCAGTTATTACAATTTGCCGCAGTTTATTACAATTTTTACTGCGCTTGTTATTACAATTTGCCGCAGTTTGTTAGAATTTACAGAACCTGCATCTCACTTCGACTGGTAGAAATAATCCCAAATATTGCCTTTTTTTCGTTCATTTAACACACCAGTGGTGGAATGTGATCATGATTAAGTCGAACAAACACTTGAATTCGAGTTTCTTTGAAATGAGAAAGAATCAGAGATTTTATTACACTTTACCGCGCTTGTTATTACAATTTGCCGCAGTTTGTTAGAATTTACGGCTCAAGCCTCTCAGTTTGAATGACAGAAAATATCCCAAAATATTTCAGTTTTTTTCATTCATATATCATCCCAGTGATGGGATCTGACCATAATGGAGTCAAACAAACACTGGAATTCGACTTTCTTTGGAAATTAGAAGGAATCAGATAAGTTATTACATTTTACCGCGCCAGTTATTACAATTTGCCGCAGTTTATTACAATTTACCGCGCTTGTTATTACAAATTTGCCGCAGGTTGTTAGAATTTACAGAACCTGCCTCTCAGTACGACTGATAGAAATAATCCCAAATATTGCGTTTTTCGTTCTTTTAACACGCCAGTGGTGGAATGTCACCATGATTAAGTCAGAACAAACACTGGAATTCGACTTTCTTTGAAAATTAGAAGGAATCAGAGATTTTATTACAATTTACCGCGCTTGTTATTACAATTTGCCGCAGTTTGTTAGAATTTACGACTTCTGTCTCTCAGTTTGAAATGATAGAAATAGCCCAAAATATTTCAGTTTTTTTCCATTCATTTAACATCCCAATGATTAGATCTGACCATAATGAAGTGAAACAAACATTGAATTCGACTTTCTTTGGAAATTAGAAGGAATCAGAGAAGTTATTACATTTTACCGCGCCAGTTATTACAATTTGCCGCAGTTTATTACAATTTACCGCGCCTCGTTATTACAATTTGCCGCAGTTTGTTACCGTTTTCGATTAATGCCGATGTTTTCAAAGTCCGGGGTTTGATTTTGTAAAGCTGAATTCGACCTTCTTTGGAAAGTAGAAGGAATCAGAGATGCCGATGGTTTCAAGGTCCGGGTAGGGATTTTATAAAGCTTAGTCTCACATTTTAGCATCATGAATGTTTCCTTGCATAATAGGCAATGAAATGTATTTTATTACATTTTACCGCAGGGGTTATTACAATTTGCCGCAGTTTCAGTTATTACAATTTGCCGCAGTTTTTATTACAATTTACCGCGGCTCAGTTATTACAATTTACCGCGTTTTTATTACAATTTACCGCGGTATTACATTTTACCGCGGTGTTATTACATATTTGCCGCAGTTTATTACATTTTACCGCGTTATTACAATTTACGTCGTAACAGAGTGCACTGCATTGGGAAGCAGCCGAAAGTGGTCTTGTCGAAGGGTTTGGGCAAACACTCATTTTTACTAGGCTGGTAGCAGAATTAGCCCGTATGGAAGCTTCTAAGCAAAGGTGCACCTATACCGGTTTTTCTCAGCATTGTATATACTACTCTAGTGGTTCAAGCGTTCTCTCGTCACGCCGAAGACCCGGTTCGATTCCCCACATGGGCACAATGTGTGAAGTCCATTTCTGTTGTCCCCAAACGTGATATTGCTTGAATATTGCTAAAAGCGGCATAAAACTAAACTCACTCACTCATGTTTTCATCGACTTCCTGCCATTCCATTGGCGGAATGTTAAATTTGTCTCCGTACATAAGATTGTAAGGTTACAAATCTAAAACTGGGTAACAAATGCAAAAATCAATGAAGGAAAATTACTTTTAATACATACGTATCACAATCAGTAGATATCCGTCACTGTGAGATACAGTGTAAGGTGATACAAGACTCGCTCTCCGACTGGTCATCCTTCCAGCATCAGCAGGTGTGACGGTAGATAATGTGAAACTCAGTATGCCATATTTAGGGAAGAAATGATTGGCCCAAGTCTTATCCGTGCAATATACTGAGATGAGACCTTGATCCGTAGATTGTCAACGACAAATATGTCCTGACCAAATGAATTCGTAATCAAGTGAACTGCTTTAATTAAAGGAGTCACTTTCCATCTTATCTTCACATCACATCCGTCTCTCACCGTGGAGTTGCCTTGGGTTGAAACTAAAAGATAAGAGAATTACAACGTAGAACGTTTACAGCACATTCATAAAATCACATTGGTAATACTTCTCCTTCGTTTACTGACTGACTATGGTTTTAAGGATAACTCCAGCAATATCACCAGACATGGGCTTAAAACATTGTATTAGTACCCATGTGGGAATCAAATCCATCGTTTCCCTCTTTGAAACTGTACTACAGTATCAAAGACAGCGATCTTACAAAATGCTAAATCTAGGTACTAACAATATAGATCAGCTGAATTAATAGTTCCACTTTTACGCTTTTGCATAATTGACAGTTTCTGCGTGGTACTTTTACATAAATGACGTAAATCCAATTACTTACAATTAGTGTTTAACGTGGAAGGTTCGCTCCATTCTGAACGGAAACCCTGTTGCAGTTTTACCAGACAGGAATATCTATCCCCATGTTTACTGTGTGTTGTTAGATTGCTCGATATCCAGTCCTCATCTAAAGTACTTGTAGTAACGGAGTAGTCTCCTTGTCTTCCAATGGTACTGCCATTTGTCTTCCAAATAATGGACACGTTCAGTGGTGAGGCGGCTGGAAAATCCGGACGTATGCCAGACATGTCATATGAACATCTTGTCTGTCAAGGAGTGGAGGAGAGACGATGTATGGATTCTGAAGATCTGTATAGATACGAAAACCCAGACAAATTCTAAAAGGTTGCCATAGTGGTCATACTGAAGTGTAATTTCTAATTCAGTATTGAGAATATGAAACTTGTCACTGGCCTTGTTTTGTTCTCAGCTTCTCAGCTATAGTGAATGTTAAACAGCATAGCAGCATCGCAACGTTCTTCTAGCTATGACGTCAATATCTTGTAACGTAACGAATTTTCTTTTCATGATAGTCATCAATTTAATGTCATTGTACCCAAATGTAAGTAAAAGGTTTATCAACACGTTTTCTTATGAACGAACATTTGAAATACAACATAAGCAATAGGAAGTTACATGATTAAATCCCCGATGCCATTAGCTTACTTAGTTAGAAAGGTAGATACCATTATTAGGATTTTTAAAACAGCACTTATCTAAAAATAGATATGCTTTTGGGAATACAAACAGGTCGACATGATGGATGCAATTGCTGTTATGTAAAAAACAAAAATTATAAAAAAGCAAAACAAAAAAAACCCCACTGTCATCGATGGCTTGAATGGGATACGTCAAAGGATGACTAGTTCTTACCATAGATGATAAGAGACTGTCGTCCAGCACGATTCATGCCACAGTAATATTGACCAGCATCTTCATCAACTGTGTTCTGAATCACAAAGCTGATGCTATATTTGGCAGATGATATTGCCACGCCGCCAACTTTAATCTTTGGCACATTGTTTGGTTGAACATAGACCATTGAATAATGCGTCTTAAATATGACTTTTCCATTAGGAGACCTCGCAGACGTTGGATCCTTATCACAGCTGATGGACAGTGTTACACTGCTTCCCAAACGGGTCACCATGTAAGGGGAAGGGATGCTGTAATGAATGTAAAAGCTGTAATGAATGTAAAACCTCAGCAATGATAATAAAGAAAAAGTGAAAAAATTGAAAAACCTATTTATATTTAGTTTTCAATATATCTGATATATATCTCATGAAGTAACGGATTGCATAAAGCAGCTTTAGTACAAATATCATTTGCCACTCTTGTCATATAAATATAGGGACCGTGCTGGGATTTGAACCATGGGTCCTCTGATCCGAATTTGGACGCCTTGTCCATATGGCTCAAAGAGGTTAACCCCGTCAGCAAGCTGACAAGGTTAGCAAGTCATCTATTATATGACGCCAAGCCCTGCTATATGATATAAGTACGTAATATGTATAATTTCCAGTTTGTATTATGCCAAATAGCATTATGAACTCACACGCACTATCAAGTTCGTACTCCTCACTCATCAATGTCCTTTTGTCTATTCCGTCATCCACATCAGCTTGCCACGTGTATCTGTTTCCTGTGTTTCCTATGTTCGTACCCGTGCTTGTGAGAGTACTATTGAAATAATTTCCTGCTATCAAATGTCCCGTCAGCTGATGTTATGTTATACCTCCCTCCGTTCGTCACCACATTGCCATTTTCCTTCCATGTGAAGGAAATGGAAGATACAAGTTCCCCGTGTAGAAAGACATAACATGTCAAAGTACCATCCCCATCCCCGTGTTTGGACACAATGTAAGGATGCTGTATGTAAGCTGGAAATTAAAAACAAACAAAAACGCTCAAAATAGGACAACTGATATTTTCAACAACAAAACAGGGACGTAATGACCCACGTTTGAAATATATAATCTGTAAATTGTAAAATGTCAATCTCCACCCTCATCTGCAGAAATACATGGGTAGATCGTAAAGAAAATACTGTTTACACACATACATAATAATAATAGCATCCAAATGCGTACATAAGATGATGTCCAAAGAAGGACAGAAGCATGGGTGATGAATGTTCAATGTGTATACATCCACATTATAGTTTGTTTGTAAAGACATCTATCACATAGTTTCAGATGCAAGGTTGAGAACGGTTAAATCTTTTGTGAATATGACAGATCAACCTGTCATGAACAGATTTCTCCCAAATGAATGTGACTCGCTCCAGCAGGAAACAGAAAACAGCTTTTCTTCATGCAAACACCACGTCAGTCGCATTATGGAATATCACCTAAAACCCACACCTGCTATATTGTTAGGGGAACGTACTTAAAACAACTGAAAATTAAATAATGATTTAGTTTGAGAAACGGCCATGATTAATGCTGAAGCATTATAAATCACCACGCATATTAAGAGAATCCTCGTTTGTCAAACAATCTGGCTCTAGCCATTATCTCCTTTCACAACAACTATTCGTATGCTATGAGGCCTCCACCTCCACCTTTATTGTCTTATTAAATTGCTGTTCTTACATGTACATATATATGCCCTCGGCTTCATAGCATTCATTCACCTGACGAAGGATCCAGCTAGGGTCCATGCAGGTAGCAAAAGTAATGTAAGTCCCCATGGTTCCAAGTATATGGTGATCTACCTTCAGTCGTTGGCGATCTATAGCCCGTGTTTTATATACTGTATTGTCTTCTTTAACTGGAATGTTTTAGCTTTGCGTGCTAGTTTTATATTCATATCTGTGATTCTCTGGTATTTTTACTGTCCATCGTCGACAAGTTTTAATCTTTTCACTTTTCACTTTTTCTTGTATAAATCGTTTTCGTCACGATACGGCTGAGATATTGCCGATGTGACGTTAAATATTGACTCATTCACTCACCTGGTGAAGGAGTAAGTATATACTTCGAAACGTTGTGTTCCTCACTTCAATACGCCTCAAACAACAACTGACATACAACCTAATATTAATATATAAATGGGCTCTTTCAAAAATTATTCAGCTTTGGAAACTATTGTCAAAACACAGAATATTATGTATAAAGTAGTTATTTACAGACCCATGAATGAAACCCCACTCAAATATTAAAAGTCCTTGCAGTTATAAGCACTTCCTAACCATATACCAAATCTGTCTTCGAAACATAAGGGGACGGTGGGGTAGCCTAGTGGTTAAAGCGTTCGCTCATCACGCCGAAGATCCGGGTTCGATTCCCCACATGGGCACAATGTGTGAAGCCAATTTCTGGTGTTTCCCGTCGTGATAATGCTGGAATATTGCTAAAAGCGGCGTAAAACCATATTCACTCACTCTCTCGAAACATAAGGAAATTTCGAAAAGCGTGTATGAAGACATTTTGAAATGCATTGCCCAATTATGTGTTATTACTACTGAAATATATCTCATTGAAACATAAACCTTTGGGCAGTATACTGTGCATGTACTGTTTACTCTGACAAGAATGCTTACCATACCATTAAATTTATACACAAAATACAGTGAATACAAGGTATTACTAAGCTCAATAGCCATACACATTTAGATTTCTTGAAGTTTCGAAACAATCGTATTGAAAATTACCTTGCGTATCTCGGACTATGATGAGTATGCAATGTATGTAAACAATCCAGATATACCACATGTGGCGCCCCATTTCGTCCTATCCGCGAAATGACATGCCGGAAAACTTCTTTATATAAGCCGAAATAACAGATTAAATTTATTATTTTGAACAACTTCCGCGTACAAATCATTAACAGTCGTCTGGGTCAAGTGAATATGCGTGTTACGACCAGGATATAAAACGACTTCTCGTCGAGGACGTTCTATGCTCACGAAAAATAGAAACGCTTGTTGTGAATGTTGACATGTTTATTCTGCTGTGTTCAAAGTAGGATAACCCATTTAATAAACTATCACTTGCAGCCAAGCAAACTAGGCACACAGAAATGTAAGTGATCATATATAAGTCAATAAAAGTTTAATCAGTGATGAAGTATGTTCAGATGTGGACGTTATCCTCAGTACCTACTGTGATAACAATTCAAGTGTCTTGATAAACAGCTCTGCATTGTCCCAATATGTACTGAAAAGTCTTGTAATCCTGGCCCGCTCGTCCTGTAATGCCTTTATTAGTTACGGAAGCGATTGAGGCGGCCTTTGAAAGTGACGTACAATTTCGAAGCAACACGGCCTGGCATTATCTTGCGGGAAAGTACTGGAGGTACAGCAATGTTAACTGGAGGTCTACAGCATCGCTGCCCTTCGTGCATGGAATTGAATTGCTGATATCTATCATAGCAAATACTGGACACTCTTTCGGAAATAAGTCTTGAGATAAATGTCTTAATCAATTCATTGTTGATTGTTCCGACTGTTTTTGATTACAGCTCATACAGCAAAAGGGACGTTGCGAAATAGATTGTACATGTCTTATTTCAAATCTTGTTTAATATGTACTAGAGACTGCAAAGCACTACATTTGGGTCGGTGTGGTCAGCAAGCCATACAGGAATAAAACGACTATTGTTAAAATTCAAAAACAAATTCTACTTAGATTAAAAGTTAACAAGATGTACGTCCAGATGTGTTGTGTGCTTCACCGAACAGTCATTTTCCAAATCAGAGGCAAGTCATCCGGTGCGAACTATTCATCCGCCAAGTTTACATTGGAGCAAAGAGAAGTCAATGGTGAAACAGGATACCAGGTGTTCGTGAGAAAGGACCACATGTCCTGCTATATGTCCAGCACCTACCACTCACATAGTCTGCCTATAACAGTTAATGTTTCAATATATATGTACACATTGTACTGTCTTCTAATCTCTATGGCATTCAACGCACCAGATTCGACCCGATACAGTCAATATAATTTCCTTTAAAGAGAGGTAATATGGCCTAAAAGGTATTCGTATATCTGTTTCATGTCCTTTAAATATTAAAGTTGAACATCTAGCACAAATAGATTTTCTTTTACAACAGGAAGGCGACAATGTCCACAGTTCAATATCCAATATACTGCAGTTGTGTTTAGTATCGCTAAGATCTGGATTAGAATTGGTCTGTAACCTATGTCATGTAAGAAGAGTCGTACAAGATCGCATAGGCAGGGTTGATGTTCATGATCGTATCAGTCACTGGATTGTTTATCTTTTTCAAAACTCATAATGCATATTCATAACATTAATGTAAAAGGAATTTGCTGCTATCTATGAGTGAAACAAATGACCAGGACATATCTGAATTATGAGAAATTAGAATAATGAAATACATTGCCATATTTGTCCTGAACATGCTTAGAAAAGTGTGGCGGAGAACCAGTACATCTGAAGTATGTAGACTTGTGACAGTCGCTTTTTTTTGTGACGTCTATATTGTATTGTATTGTATTGAATACATATTCTGACAATATAAAATGCAGCGGAAAACTATTGAAGTCACATTATGAAAAAACAGTTCATTTAGTATTGTACAAATATGGCTGAGAGCTAATTTAAAACATAGTTGCACATGGGAAATTATGAACAGGAAATATTTGACTGTTATAAAATATAAGATAACGCAATAGTATCTAGCGCTCGCAAGTTTATAGAATTGTAACGGGAAATATTTTAAAGGTCACAACCTGACAGCAATTACCAGTGTATGAAACTAGTGGACCTTCGCTACGTGGAAATAAAGCCTGGGCATGGGTCTCACAAACTATGACCATAATCAGGGCAAATCCGGGACTCGGACCCGCAACGAACGAATTCTAGCCAGCGTCTGAAACAGAGGTTGTGGCAGCTAAATGCCGCACCTTTGACGATTAGGCTTTGCAGGAAACTACAATATCTGATCTATTTTCATTATTGATCTTGACAAGAAAAATCAGATAAACATTTTGAATCAATTTTATATGAATTAGACTTTTAAAAACCGTTTCCCATTCATGTTTGATCATATTGGCCTTGGAGAATTGATTCACGTACATTTAGTGTTTCCTATTTGTATCACTGACGGAACGCAAAATTCTGTTTACTTCGGGTGCCAGACATTTCCACAGCTATAAACCATCCGTGCCAATTTACACTTCCGGTTTTATCTCAAGCCCTATATGGCTGTGCTCATGAATCGATGTTTACGATGATACCAGAAACATGAGCGTATCCTGCGCATAAACATATGCAATGGCTCATTATGTCTTGTCATCTCACAGGTTGCGGAATACAGTGACACAACATCTTGTACAGTTTCCACATTTATTCCCTTCACTATTCATTCATTGGAGGACATCTTGTGTAAATAATATGTCCATCCCAAGATCACTTCCTAAGTAGCCTGTCGCAACAAGCAATGATCATTAGTTTCTACATTAGGTGGACAAAACTACGTCAATAGGAAACAAAGCAGTTTGGCCACAATTTGCTTCCTTCTTCTACTTACCATATGAAATATCGAAACAAATACTTTATACATGAGGCGAATACCTTCCAGTTTCCCTGTAGAGACATGGCTTATCATCACAGATTAAACATGCTGTTAGATACTGAAACCTTGAGTCATATATGTGTCTTTAGTCAAAATCTTGATTGATTTGGTTGAAACATATTTTATTCACAAATGTGAAAGGGATTGGGGACAAGTTATCCAACTTAAAATACCCGCTCCCTAATATTTGCATACATACATTTTCAGTTATATACATGTCAAAACCTTTACACAGAGTAGTCTCGGGGAGATGCTCTTCTCATGGTCCCTGGTATGGTGATTTACCTTCAGTTGTTGGCGAACTATAGCCCATGTCTATACTCCCTTGTGCTGATTTTAAATCCAGTTTTAGAGAGAGATGCTAGTTTTAATTCTTGATACTGTGATATTCTAGTTTTTCTGGTTTTACTTTCCTTCTTGATAATTTACATGTATTTATGGTCAGTTTGAAACTTGTTTTAGTCACGATATGGCTGAAATATTGCCTATGTGACTCTAAATCTGAACTCACTCACATGAGCAAAAACATTTATACCAGCTGAAAGTGACCGTGAGACCATATTGTCACGTTGTCAACAGAATGTTATAGTAATAATAATCATTAGTTGCCGGGGTGATAAGGGTATGGAACCCTTTTTGTGATAATGAAGGAGACCACATTGAGAGCTTATAGTTTAGCCATTCTATTATCCACTTATTCGCTCCAATCACAACCCTTCTTCTATTATCAGTGAAATAAGCATGCTTGCTGTTTAAATAACACCAAGAACATTGGCTTCTTCGCGCCACTTGTGTGACTAAAGATACGCTGAGCTGATGATATAACGAAGTGCAACACGTGATGTAACTGGCATACTGTTCAAAGTAGAATTCAACAAACCATATCACATTCTCAAACGGTCACAATGCTTGAAACAGAAAGTCGGTTTTTCAGTCTTTTAACGAGACGTGCACCAATGAAAGCAAAGAAAAGCACTTCTTATTTACAACAGAAATGATCATTTTAATGTTGATGATTATGCACGTCGGGCTTCGTGTACTGCACTGTAGAATACTGTATTATTGTTCGAGTCCGGCGCGTAGCAATTCGCTTTGCAAAGCTGCGATGTTTGGGCAATCCCAAAACCTTATTTTCTTCGCGGGTTAGAATCCAACTTAGCCTCGGTTGTATTTCTAAGTTTCTAATCACCATACTGGTTAAATATTATCATTCCAGGATTTCCTCACACGTTAACGTCAACCGACATGATATCTTTGGAATGTTATTCAGGGCGTTTAAATCAGCCAACCCTCTCACTCGTCCTATTAAGGATTCAATACTCCGACCAAAATGTGTGTTATTGCATGCAAAAGACAGTGTGCAAGTATACTCAACCCGTCTCAACTGCTGCCTTCAAAGAAACATGTGAACCATTTGATTGTGTACCACAGAATTTGACTTCTTATTAGCATATGATATTTATGGTAAAGGTGCCAGAATACCCCCCATGCAACCTTAGTCGAACGCATAATGCCTTAATTGTTCGTATACATGTACACAGTGGATATACAAAGAAGGGCATGGATATAGCCTAAAGTTCATGGACAATCCTTCCGTTCCATAATGGATGTACTCATAAGAAATTCTTGCTGCTTAATGATGAAATTGTATTATAATACTTCCACAGAATAATCGTGCATAGTATATAACATTCATGAACGTTTTTAAAGTTATTCTTAAGGGAATGCGCATGTCACTCTCATCTCACATCAAGACCACTGTGTGGAGATGCTCTTTTTACCGTAAATATCCTGTCAGTGTGGTTTATGGTTTCACACTAAATAAGTTTGTGTGCCGATTTCAGGGTCAACTAATTGTAACATTCTGAAACATGTATGCAACTATTTAGGTTGGGGGATGAGCATAATCATATCAATATCGGGCGCTTATATCATCATTAAATATAGTATGTAAACTGATATATTGCAAATGAAAAATAATTCCCTCCATGGATTAATCGTTCATCGTTTTTCTTCCACGTGAAGGAGATGAACGTGAAGAACTTTAACTTCAATTAAAATAAAGCGTGTCAGGTTTACATCATTGCCATACTGGACTCTCTCCGGAGTATCGTCTATTAGCAAGCATTCCAGACCCTAGGTTCATGTCATAGTTTCGATGGACTGTTTGGCCAGATATAGACATATATAGATTGTA